CTAAAGCAGACAGATGAAAGAATGTTTTGATGAAGTGGACACAGGTCAAAGGATGTTTTGCTAAAGCAATTACGTTAAAGGATGGGTGACGAAGGATTCTTTGTTAAAAGACACGTGTGTATTGTTTCACCTTACATTGTGTTACTGAGCTCCGTTTGTCATGACTCTATCGAAAGAAATGCACCAAAACACTTCTGGTGGTGTTCTGGTGGCTTCTTGCCACTTCTGTGGACTTAGGCTGATTGGCAGAGTGATGTCAGCTGAACTCACATGGAATTTTGCCAAGACTCACGTGGTGAGGCAAGACCCATGCGACCCAAGTTATGTTTGGAGGGAGTAGAAATAGGACCCAATGGACAGTGATGGTGGGTTTGGATAGTTAACTTTGCAGCTCTTCATTAGCCTTGAGTCTTCACTGAGAGACACACAGCCAAGAACTTCACTTGGCATCCTTGCTGGTCCTGATAGTTCCTGCTGACTCATGCCGATTCAGAGGAGGCCTGGCTGTCTCTGCTAGGTCTTGCCACCGCTGCTGCTTTGTGTTTGCTATCCCAACTGAACTGGATTCTGGTGAAGTGTTTCAAATCGATTGAGCTGCTGTTGTTGATTCCTGTGAACTGAACTGCAGATTTCCTGACAAGGCAGATGGGATTTGCTCCAAAGAACAATTTCTAAACAGGTCCACTTCCCCCGTATCCTAATAAGCTTTCTTTTCCACTACCTCTGGTGGGTGGTAGGCTAGAAGGGAGGTAAAAGCATTTAAGAACCCTTATTAAAAGTAAGTCTTTGAAAAATCTAAGCCTACAGGGCTCTACACACTGAGCAATCTCTCTAACCTCCTTAAGATATTTTTGGGCAGATATTTTGTCACAGCATTGAGATGAGTTATTAATGTAGTACCAAGCTTGATCTCTTCCTTTCATATACGTGTACTCATGCCCCCTCACATACTCACCAGAACATACACTAACAGGCACATGTACACTCACCAGGAGTGTATTTTCGTGGTAGTTGTTTTAGACCAATGCTTATGCTCTTTAAATATTGGTTTTTAAATCTTTTAAGCTCAACAATATTTTAATTAATTTCCTCAATTATGGAGCTTTCATTTTTGGTAATATATCTACTGTCACTTATGAAACCCCTCAGGCTCCTACTGTCTAATCTGGATCCTTTGTGACCATTTTCAATACATGTCATTATCTGTGTCTCTCTCTGTGTGTGTGCACACATGTGCATGTGTGTGCATATGTGTGCATGTGTGTGTTTGTGTGTGTATACATGTATGTGCACAGGTGTAATCATTTGTATATAGTTCTTTGGAGGTCAGAGGTTGACTTGGGGTGCTTTCCTCTGTCAGTCTCCATTTATTTATTTATTTATTTATTTATTTATTTATTTATTTATTTATTTATTTCTCTGTGTGTATAGACATGTGTATGAGTGTACAAGTAGTTGATGTTGCGTATCTTCTTCTATCTTATCCTTTCTCTTTCTCTCTCTCTCTCTCTCTCTCTCTCTCTCTCTCTCTTTCTTTCCTTCTGTGAGATATGGTCTCCAGGATCTTGTCTTTTTAGCTAGATTGGATGGCTAGCAAGCCCCTCGAACCTGCCTCTTTCTGCTCCCTCCTCAGTGCTAGAATTATAAGTGAGCGCCACCATGCTTGGCTTTTATTTGGATTCTAATTATCCACATTAAAAAAAAAAGCCAAACTCCAGTCCTGGTACTTACACAGCAAGGACTTTACTCCCTAAGCCATCTCTCCACTGTGGCTACCTTAAATTTTGAAAGAGTTTCTTCAATGAACTCAGAACTCATGGTTTCAGCTAAACTGACTAACCAGTGAGACCCAGGACCCTCCTGTCTCTGCCTTCCAGTGCCAAGGTTACAGGTGTGTACCACATCTGTCCGTATATGGGTGTTGAGGATCCAAACGTAGGCCTGATGTTCACACATGAAGCACTTTGTACACTTAGCCATTTACCTGTGCTTGTCCTATGGTCTTTTAAACCCTTTCCCACCTTTTATGTGTAAAGCATTTTCTTGTTTTTTTCCATTCCTTTAAAAGATTTTTTTTATATAAATGTTCCATTCTTGCTTTCATTCTAGATGTCTTTATTTCCAAAATATTTTTTCTTCTTATTTTAGATCTTTTCTTGATTCTTGTCATGTCACTTCTAGATAATTCAAATTTTAACTTGCTTTCATAGTTAATTGTGTGCTGAGGTTTGGTCTGTTCCTACATATTGTAATGTTAAATACTGGCCCTGGTTGCCCCCAGGGATGAGGTAGACCCAACTGATGCTATATAACCTTGTCCCCCAAGTTGTTCCTGATTGGTGAATAAATGTGCCTACAGCCTATAGCTGGGCTGAAGAGAGATAGGTAGAGTTTTGGTTCCTGGGTTTGGGGTCTGAGATGGAGATCAAAAGGAGAGAAGAGAAGAAGGTGGAGAGATGACAGGACACCATGGGGTTGGTGAATCATGAAAACATGGCCATGAGGGCTGGCCAATTAGAGTTAAGAGCAGCCCAGATAAAACACGGATAGTCTTATCTCAAGGTTATAGGTAGGGAAGTAGACATAATACTATAGGGGGTAGTTATATGCTGAGCACTAGTGCTTTGAAGGGTTATTATAAACATACAGGTTTGTGTCTTTTATCTGGGAACTAAATGATCAAAGGAAGAATAGAAACCACCAATTGAAATTAAATATTTTCTACAACAGTTGTGTTAGTTTATGTTACTAATTTATTATATATCATAAAAATTTATTTATTTTAAAAGAGAAACTTATAGTATTTCCCTCCTTAACTAGGTCATTTTAGTATGCTTTAATTGTTTATCAGTTATATATTGCATCTATGGGGTTTAGCCTTCATCATACATTTCTATTTTTCATGCTTTGACAGTTTTGTATAAGTACATAATGTATTTTAGTCATTTTCTTTCTATTATTTGTACTCATGGCCATCAGATGGTACAGTGTTGCACACTGCTCACTGATGAGGCAAGCTTCCAGGCAGTTTGTCCTCATTCAGTTTGTATCTTGTGAGAATAGCTTGCCGTGCCACATTACAGCATCTCAAAACCTGCCTCCTTATTTCCTGTTCTTGCATTCTGTTCTGGCCTTCAGACCCTGAGTAGGACCCGAGTTCTTCAGACCCTGAGTAGGGTCTCTTCTGAATCTGAGGTCACTCTCTGACCGATGTGACTGATGGAATGTAGAGAAAATGATATTCAGGGTAGCTGTCAGGGCCCTGCCATCACCTGGTGAGAATACCAAACTATTCGACCAGGTCTCAGCCAGAACACAGTGACAGTTTTGGCTGAGCTCCCAAGCAGTGATCCTGGCTGATCTCCCAGGCAACCATCCTATGAAGGAAGACTCTGGGAGTCTACCCAGCAAATCTCCAGATGACTTCAGGCTACTCTGTAAGAGGTGACGAACAATAGTTGTTTTAAAGTTACAAAGTACAAACTACAAAGTATTGGATTATGTTTTGATGAAGCAATAGATGATAAAACACCCAGTTTCAGCTGGTGTCTCATTTTTACTTTGCTATGGAGCTGGTTCTCGGCTTGGGTATGAGAATTTGGAGAGTCTAAAACAATGTCCTCCTCACAACCCTTCCCAGAATCCCCTCTCACATGAGATTATAAGGTTCATCCAGGATAGACCTCAGGCAGGGCCATGGAGCCACCAGGGAGTGTAATTCAGAACCAGAACAGAATACATGTCATTTAGATCTTCTCCCCATGAACACTGGCCTTCTCACCAACTCTGTATGAAAATAGACTCCTCCTCTTCATATCCTGCCCTGCTGCCCAAGCTTAAGCTCACACTGTATAAATCTAATAATTTACATATTTCAAAATGTTTTCCAGGCTGTTGTATCTAAAAAAGTAAGTGAGTCATGCAAACATTTCAGTCAAGGTAATTGTACACCTCAATCCATCCATTCATACAAAAATATATTTACTGAGGACTTATGATGACCCAAGAATTGTCCCTGGCATTAGGGGTATTGTGGTATTATGTGTACTTCACTTAACAAAACAAGCATCCTTACCCTTTGGGAAATTAAAGCCTGGTGCTGTATATCATTTAAGTGTTTATTTAGCGGTATGAGATTGTTACTTGAGTATGCTCCTGAACAGGTGCCAAACCCACTTCCAGGACACTCAGCCAACTTCAGTACACTCCTCAGAAAGAGTCTAGCAAACAGTGTTTGCATTTTATTTTTGATGATGGAGTAGACACTCTTGGCAAACCTTCTCTGGATGCAATCCACCTAGTTAGCATTCCTTTAATCCAGTTCTGATTTCAAAAAATTACTAAAATATGCTTAGTAGTTTCAGGGGATAATGGAGCATTAATTTTTGTTGTTGTTAAAAGTAAAAGTTACTGAAGGGAGGCACTTTAACATTTCCTATTCACATGGAATCGTGTGAATGGCACTTTCCTTAGACCAGTGAGAATTTGGAGTCTTTGTGTATAAATGGGGTAAGGGGTTTTCAGGAGAGACTGTTAAAAGAGGAAGAGAAGGAATACAAGGCCATATTCTCAACACTAACAACTTAGGAAAATCTAGAGTTTTAGGAGCTTCCCTCATGTACCACCTGGAAATATACATCAACAGGAAGGTCTCCACCCATCTCTGACTCGTCTTTCCTATCCTCGGGTCTCCTGGGACCTGTTAGTGGGCAGGAGACATGATCATTGTTTATAATGCTCACAAGCCTGCATGGATGTGAAAGACATATATTTAGAAAGCAAAATAAAGCTTTAGGAAGATCTTCAATTTAATGGAAACTAGTCTAGTCATTTGAGAACCACAGGAGCTTTTTAGAGAAGGCCCACTTCTGCCAGCTGGAGGAAGTGTGGGTGTATGGGGTCCCGGTGACACCTGTGATGTCAGTCACCCCAGCCTGGGGCTCATTGGTTCTGAGGAGATGCAGCAGAGTTTAAATTCTGCACTGTCAGACAAGCCTTCTGAGCAGCAGCTGGAGAGTGGCTACTCTGAGATCCCTCTGCGAGAACTTCACTGAGCTTTTGACCTTGTGAGAAAAGACCTTGTGAGCCAGAGAGGGTAAGGCTTGTCCATCATTTAATTCTTAAAATGACTTTTGCTTTGGTGCTTAAAAAAGATGAAATATGAACATGTTACAGGGCATTGATGTCCAGAGGAAGAAGGGGAGAGCTAAGTTTGAGTAAAAGTGATTCTTATTTTTGTCTTTGGGGTCCCTGTCACAGTAGCAAACGACACTGATATTAAAATGACATGTTAAGTCAAAAGAGCCAGGTGTTTTCCTGGAGCCGCCTTAATTAGATCTCTGTGTAAGTACTTTGAAAGAGAACATTTGCTAAATAGGAAGCTGATGGGAAAGTCCCTTTGGAGTTTAGCTTTTATTAATAAAACACAACTTTTATCGTAGGTTTCTTAGAGATGGAGATTTGAAAGGATCTACATCAGTGTAGCAAGTGTTTCAAATGCAGTCAGGTAACTGAGAGCCACCCAGCCTAGTTCATCTGGAGAACATGGTGGCCATTATGAACTGTGCATGCAACTGAAAGGTGATCATGACAAGTGTGTATTTGGGTGGCTGGATATTCATGTTAGTATAATGCTTTGCATGCAGATAGACTCCAATAAATGCAGAGTGGAATTGCCTCTTAGGTAGGGCACACACACGCACACACACATACATTAGGTAGGAGACACACACACATACCACACATACACATACATATACACATACACACACATTAGGTAGGAGACACACACATATTCACATATATACCACACACACATACATATACACATACATTAGGTAGGAGACACATGAACATGCACACACACATACCACACACACATACATACATAGCACACACACATTCATACACACACACATGTATTAGGTAGGAGACACACACATGTACACACATACCACACACACACCACATACCACACACACACATACACACATGTATTAGGTAGGAGACACACACATGCACACACATACCACACACACACACATACACACATGCACACATACACACATACACATACCACACACATACATATCATTAGGTAGGACATACACACCTACATTAGGTAGGACACACACCCACACACATTAGTTAGGAGACACACACACACACACACATACACACACTCCCACCAAACCTGATTTTATTCTACATTAGTTCAATTTATCACTAGCTGGAGTATCTGTCGTTCATGACAGAGTGGTCAGACCGTGTGTCCCATGACGTTCAGAAGACACTGCAGGGAGAAAGTACATTGTCGTCTTTGAGAGCAAAGACTCCTGGTTTCCTCAGGTTTCTGTTTGACTGACACTCTTGTAGCCTGTCCTTATTTAACCCTGTTGATTAAACACATGTGAACAAAGAATTTTCTAGAGATTCTCTAGTCTGTTTACTGTTCACCAAATGGTGATGTGGACCAGGGTGTCTCAGCTGTTTAGAGGTTTCTACAACATGTATTTGGGGATCTTTGTGATTATCCTGCTGTGGAGGAAGGCAGATAATATTGCGTTGGTAGCAATTGTTCTAGGGACACTCACAATTACTGGAAAGACTGGAAAACTTTATTTGTTCATTTAATTCTCTGAGTTCTAATAGAGTTTATATTCTGACTAAATTGAACTTTATTTTCAAAGAGTAATGGTGAAGAAATTAAAGCAGGCACTGATTAGCTGATTGTAGAAATAAAACTTACTACTATTTATTATTTTTATAGAGTAAGTATTGTATCTCAGCACCTAGAACAGTCCCTAGCATATTGGATGTTCTCAATAATATTTATTAGTGACTAGTAAAATAAATATATTGCTCATTTGTATTTTCAAGGTTAACAATAAGAAGAAAATAAATCTAAGTTATTTTTCAAGGGTTTACACAAAAGAGCCTATGACTTTTCACTCTTTGATTTCCTCCCTTTGGCTCCTTCCTTCATTTCAGAGTACATCAAAGCAGATATATACCTTACGGGTGAAACTTAGCTTTGAGGAGATGCTAAAACAAGTTTCTTACTTAACATAGAGTTTTGAACATACTTGGAAACATAGCCCTTTCCAGATCCTGACTATTTAGATCATTTCAACTCCAGGTTAACAACCCAGAAGGGCTAGACGTCTCTAGGGCAGCGGCTTCTGAACAGACATGATTCAAGTCATGGCTGTTGAGTCCTGTCACTTACATGCTCTTATAAAACAACCACATACCAACAGTAGAAATTCTGTAACCAGTTGTGGAAGGAGAGCTTGTGGCTCTGGCTTCATGATATGTAGGCCTGGAGCTACCTCGTTAGCTTGATATTCAGAATCCTGAGCTGATATCTGCCTCTAAACTTTCTTTGAGAATAGCTAAGAAATTTACAAAAGTTTGATGTTTTCATTTGGAAATATTCTTCACAAAAACATCAACAGCACAACAAAAATACTAATTGAAAACCTAACATAGGCTTTAGGGTGTGACTTTCTTTGGTGGGGCTGTATTTTCTGGGAGCCAACGTAAGCTCTCTTGTGACATTGGGTTGTCTTGTTTTGGTCTCCTGGATCTTCTATTTGGGAAATTACAGTTTTGGATTGGGATGTAAATGGTATTTCTAGTAGCCTGAGCAAGTTAGGGCGACTTCCTTACTCTGCCCACTACTCCACTCCCTAGAAACTCGAACAATGACACCATATACTTCCTGGTGGCAAACCCATAACCTTTACTGTTTTAGAGTAACTGCATATTTTATGTCCACATTTTTCAGTTAGCAGATAATAGAGAAATTTAAAAAATGCAAGAGAACTCAGGAATCACTGGTGTTTTCTGGATTATTTCATAGAGTTATGAAATTATAACTCTATTCAAACTGTAAAATCAGGAAATTGTAAAACAAAGGAAAGCTGCACAAGTTTCCTTTTGCCTGTGAAACCAAAATGACTGATGTGTAGTTATTTTGAGAAAATTGCATCTGGGAATTCTTTTTAACCTTTTAAAAAGAATGGATCTAAGAACTTAAAAAAAATCTTTTGATTGTAAGAAGCAACATCTGTTGAATTAGACTTAACTGTAGTTAACTACAGTTGCACATCTTTTGAGATGTTCTTCCCAGTTGATATTAGGGAAAGAATTTAAGAATAAGTCAATATAATATAAAAACTACTTATTGTAGCATGTCAAATTACAATAAAGAAGATATTTGAAAGATTCTCAAGTGGTACTAATAGATAGCCTGTGTTGTAAACCTATCACTTAAAAGTATTTTCAATGTCTAGCATGCATTTACATACATAGAAACTGACGGGTATGGAGTCTGAAATGAACTTGTAGAATTTCTTAAAACATGTGGAGTTCAATCAAGTCTGCCTGTTAGAGCAGCTGCGAGCATTTACTACAGCAGGAAAATTACTTCCCTTCAGAACCGTTGATAGCTTTTTTTTTTTTTTTACATCAGCATTGGGTAGGTCCATGTTGAGATAAAGAACCGATTATTTTTGAAGCTACTGGCTCACAAAGTCTGGAAGGAAGCAACCTTCCAGAGGAGCGCAGCTTGATGCGACCTGTTCCTCTCAGTGGGACTCACAAATGTTTCCCAAACCTTTAATTTTTCTCTGGGTCCTCTGGTGCCGTGAATGACACCTGACAGAATTTAGCACAATCACGTATAATGTATGACTAAATGCATCACAGTAGGCATTAAGAGCTTTCTGAGGCTGTAATATGAAGCCTGCCACAGCATGTGGCTTAAAGATCAAAATGAAAAAAGTGCAAAACCAAGTTATTTTTGTCTAGACTTTATTATGTAGCTATAAAAATGACTGAACACACACACACACTGTACACACACATGTACACACACACACACACACACACACACACACACACACACACGGGGTTAGTTTTAGGAGAATAAAATGTTAGGTTGCCCTGTAATACTGGGAATGTGTCTGTTCTCTTTTATTTATCCCTTCCTCTTTATGTCTTATGAGTTGGTGAAGAGAGACCTGTAGGCCTCCTCTTTGATATTTTGTTTCTCAGGAGTGAGGTTTCCATTGACTTTTTGAACAGCTTTAGGAGGTGTAATTTACACAGCACTTTCCTATGGGAAGCATTCAGCAAGTGTTTTTTTTTTTTTTGCACACCTATAGGTGTGAACATGTTTCTTCACATTCACAGGTGTGAACTACATTTACCACAATCCCTTCAAGACATCTTCATCACCTACAAAAGACATCTGCATCTCCACCCTCACTTCTCAGCCTGCTCTCACTCCAAGCCTTGAAAACCACGGATTTGCTTCCTGTTTCTGACTTTCACATTCTCGACAACTTATAGAAATGAAACCATATAACTGTGATCATCTATACCTGGCTTCTTTTTAACCTGTATAATGCCGCCAAGGCTCTTTTACTTTGTGGCATGCATGTATCTATCGGCGCTTTGTTCTATTTTATGGCTGAATGCTATTCCATCCTACAAATGCAATCTGTAGTCTTCGCTCTTTCACTCACATGTTCAGATCAACACATTTATGTTTTTTCATTAAAAACATAAAAATAAAAGCAGTCCGATTACTGTATCATGAAACAAAACATCTATGACTTTCATTACAGGTAGAGGAATCACATCCCAATATGAAGACCATCATCCTTTTTATGTTCCTCTGGGGACTGTCCTGTGCTCTCCCAGTAAGTATAATGATAGAGATAATATCCCTCTTATACCTAAGATACCATCGCCTTTAATGACTATGGACCAGATGACTCTGTATATTTCAGCAAGATGAGAATAATAGTCTCTTGTTTAGGAAGTTCATTTCTTTAAGCATAGCTAAGTTATTTCTTATTCTGTTCACCTCCATTCACACAGCTATGATTTTCCTCTTCCTCATAGCGATGTCTTAAAAGTGTCACCCCTGAGTTGTAAAATCAGCATTAATCAGGACTCTGTTGGAAATTCATATTCTTGAACCTACTTCAGATCCACCGCTCAGATTCTCTAGAATGAACATAGAAAGCTGAGTTGTAGCAAGGCCTATAGTAAGTTCACTATAGGTCAAAAGTCAGCTATTACTGCTCCCCAGTATGTGGGGTGTTGATAATTGCTGCCCTCAGAATTTCTCCGTGGGTTTATTGTGTATATTTTGCTTTCTAGGTCTTCAGATACCAAAATACTGAATCTGAAAGCTCTGAAGAGAGGATGGTAGGTATAAATAAGATATTCTGAAATGTTTTAATTTTAATATGTGATGAGTATAACCTAGTTGGCACAATGGCAAATCATGACTGTGATAACTTAAGAGCATATAAGTGCCAAAGCTGTAGCTAACACGAACCATGATTAATTCCCAGGAGAGAATCATGCTTCAATTCCTACATGGTGTAATTCGATGAGGGAACCTTTTCTGGTTTTGTTCTCATAGTGATGTATATATACCGTGGTACAGGGAGATGACTAACAATGACCCAGCTGTTCTTGAGTGATCAGAACTGGAAGTCTGTGTAAACAAGAGGTGTCTACTAGGCAAGGATACCTAATAGGGTACCAGGTAACGAGAGAAGAAGGATATGAAAAGATACTGGAGTCCTTGTCATGATGGTGATATTTACTGAGTGCTGAATTCTATGGCTACTGACTGCCAGTCATTCAAGGATCACTGCCAGAGAGAGGTCTGAGTATTTTGTATGGATCCTGTTCCTCATTTTTCTAACAACACAATAGATGAGACAAATTTGATTCCTTTACTCAACAGAAATGGAGGCACAGAGATTAATGTAGTCTGTCAGGTATATGCTTAATATATGTTAGGGGCTGATTTTAAACTTATGACACTGTGGCTGAAAGGTCTACATTTTTATTCAGTGTAATAGATTCCTCCCAGAGGGGAGCCAGGGCCAGGCAATCTTCAATTCTTAAGACTGGAGTTAGAGGTCAAGGTTAAGCACTAACCCAGAACGCCATGTTCACCATCTTTTCTCCTGTTTGCTTATCCATATAGTGTAGTGTGGACCCATTTCTCTTGGTACTTACCAAACGAAGTCAGAAGCCTGGAATTGGGTCCTGCTCTCCCTTAGGCAACAGTAGACCGTGCAGGGTATATTGTGAACTTTTGTCCTTTGGTTGGCTAATTTAAAAGCATTCACTGTAGATCTCTCTCGTTTAAACAGAGATTTAGAGACACATCTTGCTGTCAAGTCTATCATGTCATAAGAAAAACATCAATGTTTCTTCTCTTCTGACTGTTAATTCCAAGTGATGGCCTGCTGGAGTAGGTTTCCAGTGTGCCTGCTTGCTGTATCTTGGAGCAAAGACAAATGGTTGCAGCTTCTTTCTCTGAGATACCCCAGGCTAGCACCATTGAGAGGCAGGTAAAAGACTTGCCAGTAGCAACTGTTTCCCTTTCTACTTAGTGCATTGAGCACGTCACATAGGACATTTCCATGTAAGGAGAAGAGTGGAGATGATGGGGTAGTGGGCAGACCAGAATCCACTCAGCGATTATGAACGCTCATAATATGCTTATCATGGGACTAAGGAAAGTGAAAGAAATCACAACTATGATTGTGGTGGCTACATTTAACATCTGCCTTTGGTGTCAGTGTCCTCTGCTGACTCCACAAAGGGTTTAATTCCTTTCTCGATTCAACTTTGCTATTCTTGAATTTTGTACGCAAGAGTGGATTATTTCTTTGATTTACGTCACACTAAACAATACCAATGATACTCACATGCCATTGGCTGAGTCCACTCACACAGTCACCTCAGAGCATTACACAGTGTGTGGTACATTTTCTTAGTGTGTGAATAAGAAACTGGCAGTCAGGGGAAGTGAGATGCCCACCCTTCCATATACAAGCAGCCATTATAGAGTACCTGAGCCTTAAAGGTTTCATGGACATAGGATTGTTGTTGCTAACACCAAAATGGCTGTTTTAAAGGTCAAAACTGGAAAGCAATCAGTGAGACTTAGCTCTGGACTCTGAGTCTGTATTATATTTTCTTTTGGTTGTAGGAGCAGCCAACTTCAGAGAGTACATATATATGTAGATATGTATATATGTAATATATATTAGATAAAATGTCAGAAATATAGTAATCTTCTATGTCTATTTCATCATATTTCAGGTTATTACTTATTTGACCTTAGATTTTATCATTTTATTATTTTATTATTGTACCTATTTTATCATTATATTTTACCTATTTTATCCCTCAAACTTAAAAATCACCTGAAGTTATTCTACATATTTGCAGCTACATAACCTACCCCCAAAGAATAACTTTCTTTCCTTCCTCCTACACAGGGCAGTTTGGCTCGGTCACCATCACCACCCACGGTAAGTATCATATTTATTTTTGTCAAAAATGCCTCATGAAGTGACTTTAATATTCTTTCCCCCTTAGCTACTCTTAAAGTAGTAAATATAAATGTTGGACAAATGATGCGTATCATATTTTTCCTTGGGAACTGCAAGAAGGAAGACAAACATTTTTCTTTTCCCTTTCAGAACAGTGAGTCATCAGAAGAGAGTAAAGTTAGCCCAGAGGGACAGGTAATTAGACATGCTTCCTCAGCTTCTCTGGCTGCTTAGGACCTGAAGGGAAATGATGGGAGATTAAATTACCTGGCGATAGTTCTAAATATAATATTTTCTAACTATTGGTTATGCAGAATAAACAGTCCCATAAAATGAAAAGGGAAAAGTGGGTGAAGAAAATTCAAATGTGAACGCTCTGTTCATTCTATTTTTATCATCTGAGATATTGTGTCCCTAAATGTCCCTCTTAGTTATAACAAAAAAGACAAAACAAGGGGAAAATGACACACACACACACACACACACACAGACACACACACATAGACACACACACACTCACTGACCAAGTGGCGTAAATAATGACTTTACTAAAAGCAGCTGCATTTAGGGGTGCCTGTCTCTTTAAGGCAGTTCTATCATAGTCCTAAGAGATAAGAAAGGCAGAAAGCTAATATATTTTCTTTAAAAGTATTTCTGTGTGTAAGATGTGGTGTGTGTGTGTGTGTGTGTGTGTGTGATGTGTTTGTGTGTGTGTATGTGTAGTGTGTATATGTGTGATGTGTGTGTATTGAGGATCAAAGCCAGGGTCTCATACTTGCTATCCAAGGGCTCTGTTACTGAGTGGCCTCCCTGGCTCTGTCCTATCATTATGCCGAGACAGTCCTGTGGGGACCCCAGGAAAAGCAGGAATGTGGTTCTTTCTGAAGTGTAGACTCACTTTGCACCCTAACAGAGCCAGACCAGGGAGTCATTAGCCTGCTTATTCTTATTAACAAAACATTTATCAAAGAGTATTATAGAAATTTTAAACCATAGCATTTGGGAAAATGGCCGCTTAGGGGAGAATGTGCAGTATTGACTCCTCATTCTCTCATTTCTCAAGGAAGGATAGGAACTGCTGCCCGAGAATGGTTTGACAACAAATTGCTAACAATGTTAGCAAGGCAGGCTGGGTTGCAGCACTGAGGGCTATGCATACAAAATAGGAAGTAGCTGGGCATGATGGCTCATTTTGTAATTCCAGCACTCAAGTGATTGAGGCTAGAGGAAGTCCAGCCTGGGGCTACATAGTGAGTTCAAGGTCAGCCTGGGCTGTAGGATAAGACATTGTCTTAAAAAAAAAGAAGAAGAAAGAAAGAAAAGAGAGAGAATTCACTGAGTTTCATCCCGTTTTTTCTTCTCCTTTAAGTTCTGGTAGAGATTTAGGAACATAGGGAGGAAAAGCAGAAAATGCTGGCATCATCGCTAGCTAGCTCCCTCTGCTTCAGCCCTAGCTCCCTCTGGCTTCAGCCTCTGGACACTGACCACAGATGTTTACTTTGACTTCAGGCAAATAGTGACCACACGGACAGCAGTGAGTCTGGAGAGGACCTGAGCTCCAACAGAGGCCAGTATAGACCAGCTGATGGTCTCTCGAAGAGTACCGGGACGGTTGCTGATAAGGAGGATGATGAAGACGACAGTGGAGATGACACTTTTGGCGATGAGGACAATGGCCCAGGGCCCAAAGAAGGACAGTGGGGAGGACCCTCCAGACTGGACAGTGACGAGGACTCCGCTGACACCACACAGTCCACTGAAGACAGCACCTCTCAAGAAAACAGTGCTCAAGATACCCTCAGTGACAGCGAGGATGAGGGAGACAGCCGGCCTGAGGCAGGCGACTCCACTCAGGACAGTGAGAGTGAGGAACATCGGGTGGGAGGTGGCAGCGAGGGCGAGAGTAGCCACGGGGATGGCTCTGAGTTCGATGTTGAAGGGATGCAGAGCGATGACCCTGAGAGCACCAGGAGCGATCGAGGCCACACCAGAATGAGCAGCGCTCGTATCAGGTCAGAAGAATCTAAAGGGGACCACGAGCCCTCGAGCACTCAGGATTCAGATGACAGCCAGTCTGTGGAATTTTCAAGCAGGGAGTCCTTTAGAAGGTCCCGAATCTCTGAGGAAGATGACAGAGGTGAGCTTGCTGACAGCAACAGCAGGGAAACCCAGAAGGACTCTACAGAGGATACCACCTCCAAGGAGGAAAGCAGGAGCGAGTCTCAGGAGGACACAGCCGAGAGTCAGTCCCAGGAAGATAGCCCAGAGGGACAACACCCCAGCAGTGAGTCCAGCGAAGAGTCTGGTGGGCCATCCCAGGAAAGCAGCAGCGAGTCTCAGGAAGGGATGGCCAGTGAGTCCAGGGGTGACAACCCAGATAACACAAGTCAGGCAGGAGACCAAAAAGATAGTGAGTCTAGTGAGGAGGACAGCCTGAACACATTCTCCAGCTCAGAAAGTCAGTCCACCGAGGAGCAAGCTGACAGCGAGTCCAATGAGGGCCTCAGCCTCTCAGAGGAGAGTCAGGAGTCGGCCCAGGATGGGGACAGCTCCAACCAGGAAGATCTCCAGTCTCAGAGCGTGTCAACCGAGAGCAGGAGTCAGGAGAGCCAGTCTGAGCAGGACAGCCGTTCTAAGGAGGATGATGACAGTGACTCTCAGGACAGTAGCCTATCCAAAGAAGAGAGCAACTCTACAGGGAGCACTTCCAGCAGCGAGGAGGACCTCCACCCCAAAAACATGGAAGCTGACAGTAGGAAACTAATAGTTGATGCTTACCACAACAAGCCTATCGGGGACCAAGATGACAATGATTGTCAGGATGGCTACTAACATTAGCTTGTCTAAGAAATGGCTCTCACACGACGGAGTCTCGGTGGCCCCAGAGTAGAGTGTTCACTAGAACTATAATTTATTGTTTTGGTCAGAAGGAAAACCAGGGGCGGGTTTTTTTGTTTTGTTTTGCTTGCTTGATTGTTTTTCTTGATTTTGTTTTTTCCCCCTGTGAGGAATTTTTGGACATAACACTCTTTTCCAGAGTGTCTCCCACTCTTTAAGTATGCGGGATGATGTCAGAGCACACACGGTGAGGGTAGAACACAGGAATCATGAGCACAGCAGCTTCACAGAGGCTCTGGTTCACCAACCTCACAGTTACTGAGGTTCTGTTACTTATCAGGCAGGGGAGGGGGCGGTGATGCTTTCAGGCTCAGTCTTGCTCCTGAGGAGCTTGTTCGAGGAGACACTCAAAAGTAACACATTAAAGGATACAAAGAAGGAGCCCCGGTAGCATAGCGGTGAGTTTGGACTACATTGCTTTGGCTCCTGAAGGATAAGAAATTACCACAAGAAGCCTCTGCCGAGGCTGTGGTGTGTATGACAAGGAATGGGAGCAGGGTAGGGAGTGACCAGCTTTGCTTTGGAGAATCAGAGGTTCCACAGTAGCAAAGTCTGGAGTTGTAGTGTTACATAGGATTTCTCTATTGAAGAAAATATAATTCTATTTATTCTTGAGATAAACACTATTAAATCTTATGTGACTAAATATTTAGTATGTAAAGGCATTCTCAAATGATGGCACAATCTTGGATAACATTTTTTCCCCAATTAATTTACCCTATTGAGTGCTTTTGTGGGCCTTCTGTAAACATGGCCTCGATGATGATGATGATGAAGAGGAAAATTTGGTGGGGAGATGGGAGAAAAAATAATTAAAAAAAGATGTATAGCTTTATTTTTCCAGATTATTTATGTACAGTGCAAACACTATCCCTGAGTCCTTTCCATGTGTTGCACATAGCAAAATTCTGCACATAGGGCTCAACTGTTTTGTTGTTTCTTTATCTTTCCTTTGTTGTTGTTGTTTTTTGGTCAAATGCCATTGAAGTGTTACCTCATGAAAAATATTTGTTTTGTAATAAAGATAATAATTCCCAGAGGACCTGTGTGCTTATTTATTACAGTGTCTTTGGTTATTAAGATATATTCAAGGTAGACAATTCTTTCTTTAAAACTTTCCCAACTACTTTGTGTTGTTTCTTACTAGGATAAAAGTATTCTTCTTAAATTGCTTCATGAAAAATTTCTTTGTAATTAAGGTAGTAGTGTTATAAGATCATATGTTGAAGAGGGCTGGAGAGATGGTTTTCTGGTTAAGAGCTTATTCTGTTCACATGAGGAACCTGAATTTGGTTTCCAGCACCCACTTTTGGTGACTCACAGCTGCCAGTAACTCCATGTCCAGGGTGCTCTTGTGTCTCTTGGCCCCAAGTGCATTTGCATGCACATGTACACACTCCCACCCACATAACTAAAAGTAAAATTTATGTGTTTGTGGTAGTTCACTAAATATACCTATTATAAATGAGGAGAAACTGGAGTAAATTCTTAGCTTTGATGAGATCTCATGAAAACCTTGTGATATTTGAGATTTGTATTCTTTCTTAATATTCTGTCAGAGGCTCATCTGCATACCCTAGAAGGTATGGGAAAACAAACCCTTCAGCTTTGTATTTCTGAGGGAAACTATTTCACCTCCACACTTCTGTCTTACCAGAGTGTTTACCTTCAGAAGCCCACTATAGCACATGTGAGTTTACCTACCAAGTATCTCTACCTATCTCTACTGTTAGAGAATCCAGACTTTGGTCTGATCCCCTTTATCTTTCCTTCACAAGGTTAACGTGTTCCCTTGAGAATGTGTGTGTGTGTGTGTGTGTGTGTATTTAAACATGCATACATATTCTTTAATCCTTCCCTTTGAGATGCTAATTTAGAAGGTCTAGAGCAAGGCCTGGAATTACACTGCTATAGCCCAGCATGCATGTCTGTCTGGGTTCTGGGCTCTTTGTAGTAATTGCTGGATTCCTGCAAACTCACAGCTTTTTCAAAGATAAGTGTCCCACTTCAAAGATAACAAGTGACTTGTCCTCATTACTCAAATATGCCATCTGATTCTAAGTGACTGGATAGGATGTGTGTCTGATACCAGGGAGCCTGTCTACAGTGGCTTGCAGCCTCTAGGAAACCAGTGGCAAAACTTTCCCTGAATGCTATCAAGGCTAATTTGGACTTTCCTTCCTGGAAATCTTTGTCAGAACAAAGCCAGGAAGAGGTGCACAGAAAAGCAGAAATAGAGAGGTGGTGTGGGTTGGCCTGATGTTGTTTGTCTTCTGATGTTCACTCTGCTTCCTCAGGAGGGGTTTGCCTCCCACAAGCAGTCCATCCCATACTCAGTTGATCTCATGTGAACTTTGTTCCCATTTTAACTGGCCAGTAAAGGCCAGAGTTTGTGATTGGGCAGTGGAGGGGAAAGGTGGGACTGGAGGTTTGAGTGTGGGGACAGGTAGAGAGAAAAAGAGAGAGAGAGAGAGAGAGAGAGAGAGAGAGAGAGAGAGAGAGAGAGAGA